ATGGTATGGTATGTAATGTAATGTAATGGTATGTAATGTAATGTAATGTAATGGTATGTAATGGTATGTAATGTAATGTAATGTAATGTTATGGTATGTAATGTAATGTAATGTAATGGTATGGTATGTAATGTAATGTAATGTAATGTAATGGTATGGTATGTAATGTAATGTAATGTAATGGTATGGTATGTAATGTAATGTAATGGTATGGTATGTAATGTAATGTAATGGTATGGTATGTAATGTAATGTAATGTAATGTAATGTAATGTAATGGTATGGTATGTAATGTAATGTAATGTAATGGTATGGTATGTAATGTAATGTAATGTAATGTAATGGTATGGTATGGTATGTAATGTAATGTAATGTAATGGTATGGTATGTAATGTAATGTAATGTAATGGTATGGTATGGTATGTTATGGCATGTACACCCAAACGACCAGCCGCGTCGTTGTGGGTCCCCAAATGGTACCTAGCCTTTTTTTTCGAGGCCGCTGACTCACTGGACGAGGCTGGCTTTCCCAGCGGTTTTTTCATAGGTGGCTGGGAAATCCTTTATAAATGAAGATCTATAGCTGGGAAAATCATCTGTAAATGTGTGATTACCAGAGTCACCAGAGGCTAGAATCGGTAGAATTCCAAAGCTCTCCAGTGATTCGGAATGAGCTAAGGAACTATGGCTATCCACATTCAGCATATTTAATATGAAGTGGGGAGCGAAGGAGCTGCGAATTGAGCTTCCCAACCACATTGATAGATAGAAATGGACAGATTCAACGAAGATCCGAGGGTAATGACGGCATTGGGTCCCTATTGTGATTGCGCTCATCTCCACTAACAATACATTACATTACCATATCAAGTTCTCAATGCATTGCGAGGATTATCGCTGGATACTACATATTAATATTCTGAACAATCTACATATCATATATATAAATAACATCTATATAAAAATTCGATATTCATACCAATGTATACAATCTTTTGCCATATTTTATTTGAAATACCTTTGGAATACATCACAAGTCACCGACTGGGGTCCAGGCGCAGGGCCAACCGGCTCCGTTGCAGCGTTGCGAAGCTCAGTTGGATGGGTTCATCCCCAGCTGGTTGGGAAAAATTGGTTAAAATATGGGCTACCCCCTTATTTTAAAGAGACCTCCATGTGATTTGTTTTTCCTATTTTTTTAAAATATGTTTGAAATATGGTACCCCCAAAGATCATCCAAGTCATGGATAACTGGATAACCATGATTTAGTATTGAAAGCCATGGTGACTTGGAGTACCCCAATTTTTGGAAACCTCCATTTGGAATGACAACTGGGATATGTCTTAATAGGTTCTGGAGAGGGGTGTGAAATCATATTTTTTGAGTTCAAGATGTTTGAAGGGTCAGTACAGCCATCAGTTTTCAGCTCGGAAAAAAACAGTATGTTGTCATATCACTGGCAATGCTGCAGGCCACGTTTGCTGAGGTCTGATTAGACCTAAAGCCCTTCAAGTTCTCGACAACCTGCCGCCCATGCGTGCCCCCTGCTTTGGCTTAGCCGTTGACTCCGTTGACGCAGTTTTCAGTGGTGGGCATGGCATCAACAACCGTGGCATTTTTACCTGCGCACGGCAGGTGGCGTTTTGAAGGGAAGAAGTAGCAAGGCTGGGACTGGGGCTGGAAAGCTGGGCGGCGGTTTCCAATCTGTTTTGTTTTCAGCTCCAGTAATGATGAAATGAAAATTGTCCCAATGACAACGAATACTCTTGGCATAAAGAACTCAACCAGCAACCACATGTCAGAAGAGTATTTGGAGGTCTATTGGTCAAAATATGGGTTCGTCTCGAAATATGGCCCTGAATCCAGTTGTTTCAAAGCACAAGTTCCTTATTAAACTGGAAATGTTTGAGGTACACCTTATTTTGAGACACATTCGAACATCAAAATATTTATAAATTAAGTAAATTAGATTAGTATAGTTTTTCAAATTCATCATGTGTCCAATTATAGCGTATTGATGCGTATTGTACCCCATTTTTTGGTAGTTGACTGTTGACTCCCCAAGTTCTTGTGATTCGATCCTCCCATTTCCGGTGAAAAATCCATCCATTGCCCTGGTGCAAAGCACCACGTCAGGACGTGGCCACAGTTCCCCTGGCGGAGGCAACTTTATCACAACTTCTCCAGGCGAGAAAATTCCTTCAGAAGTACTGGGGATGATGTGGAGAATGTTCCCAGCACCATTTTTTTCTCCCCGAAATGTTGATAAACCACTGGGTTTAATGGGATTTACTGGGATATAGAAGCAACACACATGGTGATTTTATGGGACGTAATGCGGATTTAATCGAAAATCACCAGCAGTTTGGGGGAAATAATATTATTTTGCAACACATTTTGAAAAGACAATCGTTTTCCGGGTCCAATTTTTTGGACGTAGGAAGAACCATATTTACAGCAACTCCCAAGGGATAGACGAGCGGAGAAGAGCATCATCCTACTGAAATAAAAGTAACTGACTTTGCTTTTTATTGCGGGTTAGTGCAATGTGTAGAATGTGTATAGTGATTATAATGATCCAAATCCTAAAGTGATCCACATCCTAATCCACTTTAGGATGTGCATAATTTAATGTCCAGGTGCCATATGACTCCAGGTGCCATATGGGAGATATAGACATGGTGGAAACAACGAGTGAAGCCATCGCTTTCCAGGGATGGTGGCAAGAACTACCGTCTTGGGAGCGCAGGGTGGTGAGCCCAGTGCAATCCTATGGAGAAACCACTGCAGACAGCACTTTGGGAAGGCTTGATTCATCCACCAATATGTATATGTATATGTATATTGTATATATACACATTGTACATATATACATGACATCATTAATATATATTATTATTATATATATATAAATACATATTTGATCACTGCAGCTGCGAAGAAACGACCTCCCAAGGCCAGATCGGTTTGAAGAACCAGGCTGGGGGCAGTCTTCCCACTGATGTTCTGGTGAGTCTACGACCAATATCTTCCAATGGAAAGTGTTCGGCCCAGTGTTCTTTTCCACCTAATTCAACCAGCTGAGACTTGAGAGATGTTTGGCCCAACTTCAAACTGGCAGGCGGCTTACAGCAAAAAGCTGGTTTTCGTTGCCTCCCACTGCCCTGCGGGGTACATCCTATCCCCCAGCGACCGTTGACTAATGCGCGCACTCTGCGAACGTCAGTTTGCTGCTGTACAGAAGTCGGCAAGGCCCGGCATGGCTGACATTAAACTTATTTTGAGGATTCCACTTGAACAGTGTCAGCAGCGTGTCCAAAATAGCTCAGCAAAACCATTTACTCCAGGTAAGGTGCCCAGGACACTGTTCGAGCACTCCACTGCATTTGGTCATTCGCGGCAGACCTCTCAAAGCAAAGGACAAAAGGCGCCGTTTTTCCACCCAAGGGCAACCGACTCGGCTCTGCATTGTGCAGTGGCTGGACGTTGCCTGAAGTTGCAGCTGCAAGGTCTGCAAGGTGATTTTTAGCAGTCCATGAGGATCAGCACAGCATCAAGAATACACAGCGTCCATATACTTCCATATACTTCCCAAATAGGGTACACAATGGAAAACAAATATTGTCACGTTGAGTTTAGCAACAAATGTTTGGCCCCTAACTGGGTCAGAGGTTCTACAATTCAGAAGGCTTTGCGGCGCCTATGGCTAATTATGGCCCAGCTCCTCCTCCTTTTGCCAAATGGCAGAGACAACCTGATGGTCACTTGGAACTGGTGGAAGCATAACCAACTTGGAAATCACAAAAAAAACACACAGTTCCAGGTGAAAATTAGATAAAACAGGTGAAGTCCTGTTTTCAGTGACGGGATCCAGAGTCTCCAGAAGTGTAATTCATATTTCAGACATGATTTTTTTCAGATGACTTTCTCTTAAAGTCTTAGCCACTTGATCATCTTGATCCCGTAGTGATCTTGGCTTACTGGCCCAATTTTTTGAAGGGTGGATCATGGGCCACATCACATTTCGATACATTTCACATCAAAGTGCCGCTCTCGTGAAAGTTGGCTCTCGGATTTCCGGCTGGGACTTTGGGACGGGAGGGTGTTGCTGATGGAGAGACTGCGAGGTGAGATGGATAGTTTGCAATGCCTAATGGTCTCTAAAGAATAGAAACAGAACCATACAGAACCAAGATTATCAAGATTATCAAGATTGGAAGTGAAGATGGTGCACCATGCTGCACAGGGTTTCAGGCTTGAACATACCAACGTACCAAGATGACTCGGATGACGGTGTAGTTTTCTCTGCTGGCGGCCACCCTGCTCAAGCGATGAGCCGAAAAAACGCCATTCTCATGGCGGGATCCTCAACATTGACTGGGTATAGACTCGCACAGTGCAGTTGAAGACCTGTTTTTGTAGGATCTCCACAAGATGTTGAGCCTGGAAATAGTATCTAAGGAAGAGAATCATGAATCCTGAGTCCTCCCAAGATAAACAACGAACATATGTTGCATTCCAAAAGGGGTCCGCAAATTCTTCCTCGTTGGGGATTGCATTAAAATTGTGTTGATCAAATCCATTTAAATTATGACACCAGCTTCAACAGAGAAAGTTGATTTTAGCAAAGAAAATAGAAAAAAACAATCAACAACAGAATCACCAAAAAAACAACCCGACAGGAAGAATCACGAGAAAAATAAAATAACATAAAACAAAACACAAATAAACAAAAATAAATCAAAACCCAGATTTTTCTCAGTCTTTGATGTTTTTTGTTGTTATTTTGTAGTTTTCTTAATTTTGGTTTTCGAATTTGTTTTTTTTCTGTTTGCTCTGGTTTTGTTTTTCTGTATATATGTAATATATATATATATATTATATAATATATTTATGAAACCCTATATTCTCTGTGCCGTTGGACTCATAACATTTAAATCATTTTAAATCACCATTTTGATGGGTTCCAGCCCCCATCCATGGCAAATCCCATGGCTCAGGCGGAGTTTGGCTGCGCCCTCGATATTCATGCCTGTTGGGCTTCCAGGCCCGTTGTAGCTCTAAACCTTACCTTTTGTTGCACTCTACACATCATATTGCATATAGATATATATATATAGATATGTATATATATATATAGATATATGTATTCATGATTAATTCATATCACATATCTTTGTCTATACATGCAGAATACTCACAAATACTTTATCTATTCCTACGTACATACTATGATCCACCGAAATTGCCCAAGTTACACATGCTTTGACATTGACATGTTCTGCCAGTACACACAGCAGCCTCCAGGAGTTGTGGTTAGTGGCACCGGTCTGCAATTGGCACCGCAAGGCGTTTGGCCGTGCCCTCAGAGGGTGCTGGATCCTATAGTCTGAAACGCTGATTTTTCGCTTGTGGGATGCGAAGCACGGCAAAACAGTGCCGACATGTCCGCTAGCCAAGCAGACCCTGGCCACAAACCGCTGCCCGAAATAGCCTGGGCAACAGCCATTGACGCCTCAACACCTGTTGAAATCAGCTCCCATGAAAAACTCAACTGTTGAGACTGGTGTCCCCGTGTCCCCTAGTTGTTCTGTCAATGGTAGTCGTTCTCCCTTAACTGGAGCTAGGAAGAAGATCTTGCGGCCGGTTGCTCCGCACTATGATGACAAGACCCATCTCAGGACGTGCCGAAAAAAAAAATCATCCACGGCCTGTTGGAGATAGTGTGCCCTGTTGAAGAATGCATTGAACTCAATATGATCACTCACAGATTAGTTGGGGATGCTCATCAGGATGACATTTTATGACCATCTTTGTTGGGTGTCTGCTAGGGATCAACCTGAAGGCAGCTTCATCAGAGATGTGGAACATGCCTTTCTACCCTCTTTTAGTAGAAAACCAATTTGAACATTTTGGACCTCCTGTCAAACTCGTCAGTTGATGTTAGTTCCAATGGAACTGATCAGCGACAACACCGATTTAAGCGATGCCGGCAGCGATGCCGGCATCGCAGGGTCCTTGGAGCATCATCGGCGGTTGAATCACCAGGCCACTGATGCTGCGGGGCGGCGACTGTCTGCGATTTGCATTGCATCATATTGCACCAGAGTGCATCATAGTGCATCTTTTCCGTTCTTTTGCGTTCTTTTCCTGGGTCCACTTGTGATTATGCAGTTTGTTTGCTTGCCATTGTGAAGATTTGAGGTATGAAAGAGGGCATTTTGAGAGTGGCGATGCAAGCAATCCTTGCCTTTTAAGTTTTTTTTTTTCGAGCACCGATGTGTAGCTGGTGGTGTTGCAAGGCTCAAATTGCTTGGTGTCTTTTTGCTGTGCCTGTCCCCAAAGGTCTTTTTGTGCCAAGATGGGAGGCAAGCCGGAGGTGACGGTCTTCTTTGAGCCAGAGACACACACAGTATGCTCCGTAGTGAGAGACCCCAACAGCCGCAAAGTGGCCGTGGTCGATTCAGTGATGGGCTTTGACTTTTCATCTGGAAGCACGAGCACAGAACATGCAGATTCAGTGATTGACTTCATTCAGAAGAATGCTTTGGAGGTGCAATGGATTCTTGAAACTCACGCGCATGCGGATCACCTCTCAGCGGCTCCTTATATCCAGGAGAAGTTGGGTGGTAAGATTGCCATTGGTGAACATATTCGCCATGTTCAGGATGTGTTTGCGGGCGTCTTCAACCTGGGGCCTGACTTCCAAAAGGATGGATCTCAGTTCGACCAGCTCTTTGCCGATGGTGAGACCTTTCAAATTGGTGAGTTGAGTGCTAGCGTGATGTACACACCTGGTCACACACCGGCTTGCGTATGTTACCTGGTGGGCGATGCCCTCTTTACAGGTGACACCCTTTTCATGCCGGACTATGGCACAGCTCGCTGCGACTTTCCAGGGGGATCTTCCACCAAGCTCTATGAGTCCATTCAGAAGATCATGACGCTTCCAGATGAGACTCGCGTCTTCGTGGGCCACGATTACCTTCCGAAAGATGGCAGGAAAGAGTTTGCTTGGGAGACCACAATTGGAGATGAAAAGAAGAGCAACATCCACATTGGTGGAGGAAAGTCTGCAGAGGAGTTTTGCCAAATGCGCGACACTCGCGATGCACAGTTGGCAGTCCCAAAGTTGATTGTTCCCTCAGTCCAAGTGAACATCCGTGCAGGGCGGTTTCCAGAACCAGATGCCAACGGACATGTGGCCTTGTCATTGCCTATCAATAAGATCAGCAACACGGGCAGCCTAAATCCATAAGTCCCTGGACTTTGGCTTCAGGTAATTTGATTCCGAATGATTTCAAGGTGTCGCCCCGATGCGAGACTACATGCTTTGACATGTCAGTCGTCCAAATCGAAAGTGCAAGGAGAAAAGAGGCACCTCAATGCACCGCACCATAATATACATATATATATAATATATATAATATACATATATATATAATATATATAATATATATATATATATGATAGAGATAGATATAGTATATGAAGGTATATGATATAACATGAACTGCCAGGATGGACAGAAACAGATAAGACGAAACGAACACTTCTTGAAACTTTCAGACTTCAAGATCAAACAACATTAGAACATGTCCGAACCAAGCAGCCTGCGTACCCACCGTGACAGGTGGCCCTCAAGATATTCAAGCTGATAGCAGGCTGCGGTCTCAGGATACCTGTCCCCAATCTGCGAAGCGGAGGACGAGTCCAGTGTTGCAATGCCAAGATTTTGTTTGAAAACCATTGTCTTTACACCAACAAGTATACACAGACACACACACACAGACACGGTGACACAGTGTGTGTTTGGTAGCGTGTGTCTACATCATTCCGGGTCCCTTTTGCTGAGGCCTGCAGCAGGAGAAGCAAAGGCCAGCTGGGCGACGGTAGGACGTTGCAGCAGAGGGATGTAGCCAACGGGTAAAGAGTGGTAAAGATGTCATGAGAATCTCAGGGGATAAAAATTTGAAAGTGCCAGCAATGACAAGCATGGATGTTTCATGTCTCATTCTGTGGAAGAGTAAATGGGCTAAGCCCCAGTCTTTGAACGGACCTGTTGACGAAATCCTGCTTTTGAACTCATCAGCAAGGTGCAGTCATATCCAAGTGTGCTGAAATGCGCTCCGGAATATGTTCGCACTCCCTGGCAAGGTCAGTGCTCATGCGAAGGTTCCTGAACTCAGGTGTGAGAACGCGAGTTTCACTTCCAATTAAGGTCAGAAGTCAGAAGTCTCTTTGCATGCCGGCAATGATGTTTTTTTTTTCACAATAAGCATGTGTCAAATTGACCTTGAACCATATGTGGAGAATCCGTCTATAGAGACATAGAGACAATAATACCCATTGTAAGGACATTATGGGATGGATGACCATGAACCATATACATCATTAATCATCATTATACATCCATATACCATGTTTAGACCCTAGACATATGAAAGAGATCTCCAATTGCCAACGTCAGAGAACGCCGAAGTTTGGAGATGGGATGGCCAGGCAGCCTAAGACTAGCCGGGAAAATCTGAAGAGAGCTGCGAAAGGCCAAAGTTGGAGTCAGCAGCCATCAGTGGATGGGATATGATGGGATTGGTATTTGCATGTATTTGCACTGATTGCACCCTTAAAATTTGCAAGTCGCACCGTAAATCTCTTGGCTGATTGAAGTTAGACATAGACGCTGGTTCCTGGTGGAACAGTCAATTTGAGCATGACTCATTTTGACTCCACAGGGATTTTTGAAGCGATGCAAGTTTGCAACGCGGCCAGTTGAGCACATTGTACTCGTATCTGTTTCTTTTCGATTCTTAAACTGCTGCACTTGACCCTGGCAGGCTAAAGATTGATCAATGATCCATGTTATGATATCCCATATCACCACAACGAACACAGGAGTCTGGATTGAACCACAGCAATTTTCTAGCAAAATCATCCAAGCCATTCAGATGGCACGTGTATGGCTGCAGGCTCCAATGAGCGGCCGAGCAGTCAAGACGCATCTCCCAGGCTCGGACCATAGCAGCCATGGCTTCTGACAGATTTCTCCGAAGAAAACATGGTTTTTTAAAACGACTTCCCAGGGCACTGGTGAATTATTTTCCCATATTTTCCCATACTTTACTTGTTAAATTTGTTAAGATTGCCATAAATTGAAGTAATTTCCCCATTTTCAGGCAGCCTCTGGATGGTAGGTGCCAGGATTAGACCCGCGTGCAGCGAAGCTAAACACAGTCACACTGGGGGTGGGATAAATTCATCGGGAGGTTTCAGCATTGCCATGAAAGTTCCGCGTCCTGTATTAGAACATATACATACTGTGGATGGAAGAAATCCTGCACCACCTTGGTTGAAACCCTATAAAGAATGGGATAAACTAGCAATCAACTGGTGCATGATTTCTTCCATCCACAGTATTTCGAATTGAATGTAACTAATGATCTTTGATGACTTTAACACAAATGATGGTTTATATATATATATATTAGATATATTCATTTTCAGGTTGATGATCACTGAATGACAACTAATGTCATAACTCTTCCCGGATAGCACCCGTTCCATTCTGTTCCAATCCCCATGTTTCCTGGTTTAGTAGTGGATCGGTTCATGAATCGGGATCCTACAATCATGGGGGGGACTACTGTAGTATTTAAAAAATAATATGTTGATATCATATGTTAATATATGTTAATATATGTTAGTTAATATCATATTGGCATATATTCGCTGTATGACTGTATGAATCCCCAAGTCATGATGATTAAAGCATGTTAAAGCACCATTTTGGAATATTTTTGATGCTTATCCCCCGTGTTAACATAGGGAGATGGGGTTGATTTCTACTGCCGAGAGCTGATGTCATGTATGATTTCGATCGAAGGCTGAGGCTTCCTGAGACCAAAGCAGAGGCGGTGGCTGATGGGATAGGTGAGGGGCAAACAAATCAGCATATTATGTTATATATATATACAATGTTATATACTATATATATACATATATATATGTATATAGTATATGATCCACATGGTACTTGTACAATTGTATAGACATACCCGTTTGACACAGTCAAAATGTATATAGAGGTTTTTATTATGTACTATAGAGAGGCCAGTACACACATATGTCCTTAAGAGGCCAGGGCAGCTGCACAGGAATGTCGTGCAAGAAGCATCGTCCCTGGCTGGTTTGGAGGCTTCGAATCTCGTCGCCAGTATGTTGGAACCAGAAGTAGACATAGGCTATGAAAAGATGGTGGAAAGATGTTGGACAATTTTTTTCATGTTGGTTCTGTTTTCGAAAATTGATGGTTCAGGTCTTGCAAAGTCACCATGCTGCGAAAGTCGTCTTTTGTCGCGTTCAGTTGAGCTCAGTTGCAGTGCGCCTGTGTCCTGTTGAGGTTTAGCATCTTCCAGTCGAAACGAGACGGAAGGGGAGATGAATTTGTTGGCTTCGGTTGGGGCACCTGGCATCAGACCAGGATTCCAACAAGAACAGGGCGTCAACGTGAATGAACCAACCAAACTGGGGAATATGTTATGATATGTTTCTCAGTCCTCGGTCCTCACCATGTTTACAAGGTCTTTGCCGGTCGGCCGCCTGGTGCTCAGATTTTGCAAAGTTCAGAAACCATGAAAAACCACTAATCACTGATGATGTACTCATCAAAATTGGGCTACATCTCCCTTTTTTGCATCCAGAAATCACCATTTGCATCCATTTTTCAGGCTTTCCCTTCAAAGTCAGGTGGAAAACATTGACACTGTGAACAGGCCCGTGGTCTTTTTCGACTACGATCCCCGATGCAACGCTGCTCCACGGGACTACAGCAGGCATGGGCGCTGTCTCCAGACATCTCCAGACATATGGAAAAATAGGTTTCTGGGCAGACCTGGGTGATTTTGTCATATGAACGGTGGAAAACTTTGACCCACTATGATTTAGAGAGTTTCTGATGATTTTCTGAGTACCAGTTGAGCAAATGACAAGTGAGGCGGGCTACAAGGCTCCATCGTTAGGATTTATGGTTTCAACTGGGACTGCAAGTCTAGAAATTGGCTGTATGACTGGGCTTTGAAGAAATCAAGAACTGAAACGAGCAGAAGTTTGTTTGTCAAGTTCTGCAGACTTCAAGAAATGGAACGTGTCCATATCTCCCTCAATTTTCGAATGGCCAGAACTAGCTCCATGATTTCCCACAATTTCCTACGATTTCCCATAATTGCCCCATCAATGGGAGCCAGCACGCATGCTGCAACTGCGTCAGACTTCTGGACAGAGCAGAAGTGCAGTCAATGGGCATCTCTTCTTTGCCTCAGAACCGTGTCGGCAAAAATGGCTACTGGTTATTTTGTTCCAAATATGTTCAATATATTATTGGAATATTACTGGAGTAACTTGTACTTTCTTTTGCATACACAACGTCTATCAAATTCTCGAATCAGGAAAATCAGGAAACTGGGTCTAGACAATAGTGATGATGCTCACTTGAAGACAGACGAGACACAGGTGTACAGGCGTATTTACCGACGAAACACGTTCTAAATCAATTGTTTTCTGTTTTTTTTTGAAGACACTAAGATCTACTTTGTTTCTGCAGTTTTTTTTGGTTGGGCTCAGGATGTTCTTTTGCCTTCAGATCACTCGAGATGTTCACGAGTGCCCCGTTTGGGGCCATGGATCATCAATCCATCCTCTGTTGATATTGGGAAGGGGTTACTCTTGGAAGTGAGTAAGAGATAGTAAGAGCAGCAAAAGAGCCAAAGAGCAGCATCCCCAAGGATATCCTGGGCAGGTACAATGCTGTTGTCAATACCTTCAAGCAGGAAGCCTCAGGAAGCTGACGGTTTTTCTTTTCTTTGTTTCAACCACCCAGAACTTGTGTAAACTGTCAACCGGAGATCAAGAACTCCTGGTGGATTTTTATTGGGGATATGCCCAAAACAATCCAAAACAGTGATGCTTTGCTTCTAAACCAACCGTCTCCCCTTATGATCAGCCCATTTCGGTGACATCTTGCAGCATCTGTGAAGCCCGGAGGTTCGCAGGCTTCGAGCGAGTGAATGCGGACTCGCCCAAGTTTGCCATCTATTGGGGCCTCGGGCTCAGGTAAAAGTCTGGGGCGGAACTGTGCATATTCGTCAGCAGATATGATAGATATGTGCATTCTTTGAGATTATGATAGATTTTGCATTCTGTATAGATATGTATAGATGAACTACGCTGGTGGTATCTGGTGGTTATAAACTGGTGATTATGATTAGTTCAACTTCTATGCTGGTACTGATGGAAGAACTATCCATTGTCACACCAACTGCAAGAGGGACACAGTTCCATGCTTGGATTGTCCGGCTCCGGCTCGAGAGAGGGGGTGTTTTGCTAGGAATCCTTTTTGCCATTGGGTTTGTCTGAAAATAGGATATAGCATGATATAGCTCCCAAATAACAACTTGAATTTATCAGAACATGATGATAAACATTGATAAACCATCGGATTTAGTGTTTTTTTTCAACATTTTCTGACACACCTCATTCCATCAACAGAACATCAATTTCCCAATCCCCCGCGACGCGACGTTTTCCCAGGACCTCATCCAGCACCTGAGATGTTGGGCCACGCAGACGTGAGAACTGGATGATAACTGGATGATTTTTTGGTGCCTAATATCCCATGACGGATCCATGGTGCTGGTATATGTATGCTAACATAAAGGGGGTATATTGATGGTAAATGTATGTAAATGTTACCATATATAGCATACATGGATCCTATGGGTATGGAATAATGGATGAATAATGGGACTATATTAGGGAAGATCTTTGGAAAGCAGATGCGATTTTTTTGCTTCTGTCTCTTCCCTCTCCCTCACTCTAATATGTTCGAATAAAAATATTTCGATGTATTTCGTTTATTTATGATATACACACACTGTACGTATACAATTGTATGTATATATATATATATATACATGATTATATATGTAAACAGCCAGACAGAATAAGAATCGGTTCCGTTTCTGTGTCAGACGTTGGATGTTGTTTTTTCTCCGCAAGGCTCCGGGGTTTCAATCCCTTCCAGCGAGCCAACCATTTCCCGGGTTCTTGGCAGTTGGGGCGGAAGGCGCCACTGCTGGTGAGGGTGGCGATTTGATGACTTTGTCACTTTGGTTGTTTCAATAGGAAAGGGTCAAAGTTTACAGTTATAATAGATTATATCCTCCGGTAATTCAACATGGCTATGGAAAATGACCCAGTTATAGAAAAAATACCTATTGTATAGAAGATATAACAGCATGATGATTTTCCATAGCTATGTTGAATTACCAGAGGGTTTAACAGTGTGTCTTGATGCGTTTTGAGTCCTTACGATACTAATGACCACTGATTTTGGAATATTTTGGGTGTAGTCCTGACAGAGCAATGAGACTGAGACTGGTAAGTCTCGTGGTCGGCTAGGACCTTCTGGGCAAGAACATTTACAGGACCTTGTGGGAGCTTCCACTGTTTCCATGGGCGAGCGCGCAGTTAGATGATTTTTAGATATGGAGCAAGTAGAGAACAGTTGAACCATTGATGATGTTATTTCACTTATATTGTAGCAGTGATTGTTGATGATTGATGATTGATGATGAGCAGTGATTGATGATTTTCTGAAGCAAAAGGTTGCTGTGTCGATGTCTCCGAATGGCAGATGACAGGATGAAACGGCAGTTTGCCAAGGACTATAACATTTTGTCGGATCCCCGGAGACCTTCAACTGACGGAGTGGACGAGTCGTGATGTCGCAGGGGGTGCTCCATGATCTCCATGACATCAGCTGGAATGTTCCGTTGGCACACGGCAGGGTAGATGTTCCTTTTGAGGGATATGACCGGGATATGTGTGGATATTTCAGATATGATTTACTGGTTGGTGGTTTCAATTTTTTTTTATTTTCCATAATATATGGGATAATCCCTCCCATTGACTATTTTTTTTCAAGAGGCTTAAAACCACCAACCAGTTTAAGATGTAACCGATATAACCTCTGGTTGTAGGAGCTGACCCCCCGGTGTCATGTCACAGAGATCCAGATGCCTTTGGGGGAGATGGTATGATCGACACCAAAGAGCTTGGCATTGATGATGATGATGATGATGATGATGATGATGACTATTGTTGCTGAGATTAATTGTTGTTAGCTGTTCTTACTTCTTCATTTTCTTCTTCTTCTTCTTCTTGTTGTCCTTGTCCTTGTTCTTCTTGTCCTTGTTCTTGTTCCTGTTCTTGCTGCTGTTGTTGTCGTTGTTATTGTTGTGGTGCCATGCTTGTTCTGATGTGAGGTGCACTTGCCCAAATTTGCCCAACAGGCGTGACTCATTGGTTTGTTGCTTCAGCTGGCATCGCTTAGGCCTTCGGGCTTCACGTTGCCGGAAGAAAGCGCAGCCTGGAACCAGGTGCCGGGCATGGCGTTGTCTGATGCCGCCAATTCCAATGGATTCATTGCCGCATAACCCATTTTTTGATATACCAAAATGACACATGGAAAAAACCACCATCTGAATCCCATGAATCGATATATCGAGAGTATATAGATGTTTCTTGTTATTTTGTTGGCAGCGGAAGGCTGATCCAATGATTTGGGTTATAAAATCCAATCCACCATTGGTCGATCCAAATCTGAGGCGAGAGAGAAGAATCCCAATTTCTTGTGGATCTGGAAACCCATCAACCTGAGTTTCTTGGCTGCAAATTGTCATCGATGTCATCGATGTCATCGTCTTTTTCGCTGGAAGATGTGGCTATCCAAGCAGGTTGCGGCAAAGGCATCCGCTGGGGCCTTGGTTTCTGGGGATGTGATAGCTATCATCAGTCAGAGTCCCTTTCATCGCATATTATGGCATTCTTTTTGAAGGATTCCAAGTGATCAACACAAAAAAAACATGACATCTTAGCAACCCCCAAAAAGATAAAGAAAAGTCAATTGTCACCAGACTGTCACCATTTTATTCTATTTTAGGATCGGATTTTGCCTCTCTATCTTTTTTGGGAGTTGCTGAGTCATAAACCAGCTGTCCATGTTTGAGGCCTCTTTGGATCTTGGATTCCACCTGGTGTTGAGAGGAAAATCTTGCAAAGGCCAGGAGCTGGTGGAGCTGGTGGAGCTGGTGGAATCACCAAAGAGCTTCCCCTTTGGTAATTCTGAGGGAGAATCAGCTTTCCTAATTTTCCAATACAAGCTTTGAGATGCAAGTATATCAAAGATTATCAAAGTATCGATCACACAGGCTGCCACAGGCTCAACATGTTCAGATCGGATCGGATCTCGGTGTCGCCCAGCCCAGCAGCCCAGCAGGGCTGGCATTGTACAGCGCTACATCGACCGTCCGTCGGGTGTCCCAAGTAGTTCGAGGATTTCGAGGCTCCAGCGGCTCAGTACTGGTCTTTCTTGACATTTTTGGGGGGAATTTCATGGACAGATGATGGACAGATGATTGATGCTTTAAGGCCGTACGGCCACATCGCAAGGCCGTATTACGGCCACTTTGCGAGGTTGTTGATCAATGGCTTCAAGTTCGATCTACGACTCTATGTTGTTGCACCTTGGATTGGTCTTAGCAGCTATAGCACAACAAAGATCATGTCCAGGGGATTGGCAAGGCTTCGGCCAGGGCTTAATACGCACCTTTTCCCATGAGTTTTCGGTGATCTTTGACCCATCGTTCTGAGGTCACATCCTTCGATCCCTTGAAGGTGCGCTTGATTTGCTGAAACTGTTGGGCGTTTGTGGGAAAGATTCCATTTGTGGGAAAGTATGGGAAAGTAAAATGCTTTCTTCATCAGGATAGCACGGGATCCAACTTCCGATGTGGAAAAGCGGCCTGTGGATCTTTGTGGCACATCTTCCATCATCTCTTTTTGGTGTCATAGATCGACAGTGTCCGGCCCTGGGGCACTGCACGTTTTGTTATGTTTTGTTCTTTGCAACTCGAACTTAATCCTACGATAGTCTATCATAGTATGTTTTATCTTCTCCTGAGTCACAGAAGTTGTAAGACAATATGCCACAATCCATCTGCAGCTAGCCTCTGCTGCGTCTGAAATGATAGCTCCATCCGCTGCTTGCATTTCATTGATCATAATATAGCCCTTTGTTGAATTCCTGGGAACATTTTACAACCATTCCCCCTATTTTCAAGCCCTTATGGTCGCAGTCATGGGACTGCTCATGACTGCTGATTTCTCAAACTACTGGGCTCCTGGACGCTGCATCCCAATCTGGTGGTGTGTCAGAACATCGGGTATGTACTCCCAATTATATCATGACATGATCTTGAGAAAATGATGAGTCACCAGTGGATGCCAGTGGATGCCAGTGGGTGGAATGGGGTACCCCATTTCCAGTTCCCACCCCAAAAACGAAATTCCATATTGTCGGCTGGGTCTGGCTGAGGTCTACATCAATAGCGAAGGCCTGGTACGACTGGCCACCCAAAAGTACCAGTGCTCTCCAGATAGCTCGACGCTAAGGGCGGCCTGGGCCTGGCCAGGGCCAGTTGAGGACAGGGTTAGGAGCCTGGATGGATAGAAATCACCAATAATTAGCAAACATAAGGATATAACTTGATATAACCAGCTAATATAACTACTGGGTAAACCGACTGGATGGATGGTCATGGTCTAGTACAAACTAATCTTTTGTTATCAATTGATACATACCTAAGATGCAACAGGTACCACCAACCAACTATTTTTTGTTTTTTTTTTTGCAGGGATCTAAGGTTGGCCATGGTATTTGGTCCTAGTGATCGGGGAACCGTTGGTCGATCCTTGCTGAGTTGGTTCAACATCCCAGGTCTGGACGAACGGACGATGCATTTGACCAACTATTCTGTGAACAAACACGCTGCATGTTCGGGCGCCCGGGGACTGGATGGAGATGGGATGAATTTCCTGGAACAAGCTCCACAGTTGTGCTTTGCAAGCAGGTTTTTCAGGTTCGATATTGTTTCGATGCTGTTTGGGATCCCTGAAGTGACTAATGTTTTTCAGGACAAGTTGAAACAAGCAACCGCATCAAAAATCTCTACTAAAATATCCTGTAGGTGCGACGGACCATCCATTATTCAAATCCTTTGTGATCCATTTCCTTCCAGTTGCTTTGGTGTTGGGGAGCTGCACGGGCATCCCGGGCTAAGGCTACAAGCAAAACTTGGATAGCAGGGCGAAGGGTCAGGAAGGCCGTGGAAGCAAGGCGAGTCGTTGCCCGAAGAGCCTTTGCTGTGATTGGTGAAGAAGGGTCAGGGAGACACTCAGTTTCTACATGTTTCTACTGGATGTTTAAGGTTCTCCATCATTATTCCATCATATTCGCGCCTCATCAGCCTGGGGAATAGGCAGAAGATCTGGAGGGTGAAGGTGAAGAGGCCGTTTGATGGGAAGCGGATGGGACGATGGAAATCCATCCATTTGACTTATGCATTTTAGATTTAGATGTATACAGTCTATAGTCTATAGTGACAATATGTGACAATATACAAAACACATACTATGTAGATAACTAGCCAAGATAGTTTTTGAATGTTTTTGCCTGTTTTTGAGCATGAAGCCCATGGCTATGGTACACCACACATTGTATAGTGAAGCAGCTCAGATTGCCCCTTGTTCTGAAAACACATAGGCTGATGATGGCGACATGGGCGATGACAATGAAGACCAGGAGGAGATGGGAATGAAATCGACACAGATGGGATTCCAAACATACCTAGACAAGGAGTGCTCTTTTCATACTTGAGAGCACGTTCTTTTAATGAGGCATGAATGCACATTGCGCCTAAATCAGAATGGGTAGCACTTTCTTCGTGCTACCCAGTGAAGTGCCCATAGTTAGATCGCAGGAAGCGAATATGGGAGAGTCATCCAAATGGTCTTTGAGGTGTGGAAAGTGTGGAAAGTGTGGAAAGCTCTACCGGAGATTCCTCCATGATCTGCATGATATATTGGAAGCACCTTGACATGGCTGTTATGACCTGGTGAAATCTTTGGCCCTGTTTGAACTCGGGAATGTCAGCAGGCAGTTGGAAGAATATCTTACAGCGCAAGGCAGCGGTTTTTTTCTTTCCTGTCATCAGGGGCCCAGGGGTCATTTTTGGAGGAAATGGGTGAAAATTGGTGTACCCCGCAACTGATGGCCATTAAACACCACGGACAATGATGATTCACCGGTGGATTTAGGATGATTTAGGGGTTTCCCATGGTTTTTCCTCAAGAATTTGAGACATTTGAGACAAATTCAACTGATGATGGCCTTTGCAATTTCCCTTCGCTGGGCACCTGAAAAATCCCAGGGGTGGACTACGGCGAGCTGATGTCGCGCATCGAGGATGTCATCATCAAAACGCTCATCGCAGCGGAGCCATCGCCTCGGCAACCCATGGTACCACAAGCCATGCCCCATGAAGCGCTGTTAATCTATGGTTAATCTATGGTATATCTATGGTTTATCTATGGTTAATCTCTGATCTTCAAATGGAAACCCCAAAAATGATGATCTCAAAATTGGATCCAAAGTTGAGGCCACAAATCGTCAATACCTGGCATCAGGCAGGGGACCTGACCTGGGTGCAGCAAGAGTTTCCGGATTGATTTCCTTAGTGGTTCATGTTCAAGTCGGTAGGTATATCATCCCACTACTATCCCACCAGTATCCAATTCTTATCCCATTTTTTTTTATCGGATAACAAAGCCCATCTATCTCATAAAAAACCGTATCTCATTGATTATAATATATATCATTATATATCCAATTATTGACCATAATAAAAGCCCATGATATCATCATAAAAGCTGCCACTTCCAGCCTCGGGGATCAGGGAGCCAACTTCTCAACTGCGAGCCCAACGCCCATACAGCAGGTCTGGGACACCATCCACGGTTTTGAAAACCTCATTGCCCTCATTAAAATGATCATTTTGTTGGGCACCATGGCACATCATGGCACATCATGGCACCATTTTCTGGGCAAAAATCTGATTGATCTTAGGATGACCTTTTTTTCTCACGAGGAGACCCGTTGAATACGATGAACACTTGATGTGTTTTGAGCCGTTGAAGCTTCTGGGTCCGGGCTGAAGGTGACCCCAAACCAGACCTGCTTTGAGATCTACGGTCTGGACCTCTGGTGTCGACCTTCTGACATGGCGAGTTAGTTACTGTACACTACTTTTTCTCAGATGGACAGTTGTCTAGAAAACTTAAGCGGTGCAAGAGTGGTTGCCAAGTTGAGATTTGTGCAGCAGCTACACGTGCAACATCATTCTGGATGGCGCAGCAATTTAACCATGGTTCAATCGGCCAAAGTATGTATCAGAAGGTTCATGACCCATTTGGGCGTGGCATGGGTCCGAATATCAAACCGTCCCTCCAACCCGCAGATGAGTGATGATGATCTAGTTTAAGACCAGCCACCCACATGTTTGATTAATTTCTGTCAAAACAACCCATGAATCCATACCTTTATTGGTTCAAATCTGTTTAATCGGTTTATAACATTTTTAACATCCATCTTCTGTTGCTTAAACCATCTTTTGTCCCAGACGACGTTGGAGGTTTCGATGTGATGGTGGATGATGAGTTGCAGTAGCTGCCCCAGCTCAAGCCCAAATGGGGCTTTCATGGGTTTTCCGTAAAATGGGGGATCCCCAATGGCTGGATGGTTTATAATATATTATAATGGAAAAGCCATGAAAATAACATGTATGATTTATGATTTAGGGGTAGCCCCAGTTTAGGACACCTTCGAATGTATACATGAGTCTTAAATGTAAATCTGTATATGTGTATAGCCATGTTGCAACCAAAGTTAGAGGGGTTAGAGGGGATGTTACCCCGTTCATTTTCTAAGTCACTATCTTATATTCGTGGAGTTTGTCAAGTTGTTTCTGAAGTCATGAAGCAACCTCCACGGTCCATCATTTTATTGGTGCGCCTCCAAGGCCATGGCTGCTGGAAGTCAACGTTTTTCCGTGCGGCTGCCTATTTTGTGGCCACTAAGTAGTCACTATAGTCCTGCGATGGCCCTGCTATGGCCCTGCAGCTGGCAGGTCACTTTCGTCCTCATCCCCCTATGACAAGCGCGTGAAGACACAGCTGATCGCGGATGTGTCAGGGAGTCCCAGACAATCCCAGAGATTCAGCAACCGTGTCTTGAAAGTCGTTGGATAAAGAGGTGATCATCTCTAATCCTTGGAAGTGTAAAGAATCTGCTATGAAGAATCGAGCTTGTCAAGCTTCTGTATGCCTCCTTGCTTAACTACAAGTTGTGAATCGTTTCTTCCTGCATCACTGAGCCATTCAAGACTCTCTTCGACATGTTTCCACCAGTTTTAGGTTCACTTTGATTGGTCTAATGCCCTACGACCACGACGTGGTAGACAAAGCCTGCAAGGCTGTGTTGTGGCTATTCTCGGAGCAGGGCAAGTAGTTTGTAATCTAATCTATTTGCCATCTTTTTAAAGTGGATCACAAGGACTAGTGACTTCCCTCCTATTTGTCAGGTGGTAAGCTCACTCACCCAGCAGAATCACTGCCAAATGCCGTGGAAAGGCGATCTGCAAACATATTATTGTCATTCACCTGTGTTGGAACCGGAATCATGAGGACCGTTGTGACTCTGGTGGTGAAGATGTGGAACTGGTTTTACATTTTACACATTTCTTGGGGCCCTTCAGTGCTTGGCTTAACTACCCTTGGGACCCCTTTGGTTTCCCCAACGATCAGAAACACATAGAAACACCGTGCTGGCCGCTGCGCCGCTCCAGGGGGAGCAAGCCAAACGACTTCAAGGTCTGTGAAAAAATTTGCTGCAGAGGGTTGCCATGCCGTGGAATGATCCATTTGTATCCATTTGTACACATATTTGACAGACTGAGATTTCATGAACTGGAAGTCGGTGTTGCAAAAAGGGAAGACACTGTCAAGTTACCCCCAAGCCAAGTCGGTTTCATTGGGTTCTCTTTCACTTATTCCATTATTTCCATTCTGCAGTGATATTTTGGAGGATTTTGGTCTCCCACTTGTTGAAACCACAGAAATCACACGCAGCCCAATTCTCCCGGGCGACCTTTCTGTTGCAGGTTCGGCCAGAAGTCTTGTCATCGGTCGATCACACACAGCACCGCTCTTAACAGCAAACCGGTGGTGAAAACTTTGGCTGGCCAAAATGGATAGGTTTTCCGTCTTGAAGCCTAAGGCAGTCAGTTTTGGACTGTCTATGGTCGGGCCATGTTGCCCCATTGAATTCAACACCTAACTGATTTGTTTGAAGGTCCGAAGTTCAAAGGCACATGAGACTCTCTAAGGTCTCAAGCATCAAATCGGCTTCTTTCAAAAGCTTTGGAGAGGCCGAGTGGTACTTTTTCAGCAGAGATGTGGATTCTGCTGAAGTTTGGAGAGGCTGAGTGGCGTTTGATCTTGGAGACCCACGAAGAGAACATGAGACGAGGGCATTTGACCCGCATCTTCCCACGCGAGGTGCAGTTGTGCCCAAGAGAATGGGGCATGTGCAAAGCGGCAACACAGAACTATTTTGATATCAAGATGTAAGATCCCTTGCACTGAATTTGTATTTTTGTATTTTTTTGGTGTGTTATGTTACCGATTACCTGTGTTTTAGACATGCACGTTGGCTTGCAAGGTTCAGAACAGTTCCTGCAAACAAATTTCAAGTGTGTCTCTTGCAGGGCAGTGGCTTCTACAATCAGTTCTTCTCTACGCCTAGGCGCAAACGCAGCAGTTTGGAGCCAGGTCTTCGTCTGAAACCAGTTGACAGCCATGTTCAAGCTCCAAGGTCCCCAACCCCTGATCTATCAGTTGACTCTATGAGATTCTATTAGTGCGTAACATTCACATTACGTAACTATATGGAGGTTTCCGAAAATGGCGGTAGCCCAGACCATTTTAGTATTGAAACCCATGGTGACTTGGGGGATACCCTGCCCTGGATAGGTACTCCAACTTGGTGCTTGAGAGGTGGATCCAACTGGGTGGGGAGTACAGGTCCTCAGCCGGGGTCACAACTTGGCGAATTTGCGCATACTGGGGGATGATCATCAATCATCATCAATCCATGAATAGGGATTTCTACTATGTGTTGATATGTAAGTTATAAGGATTCCCAGTATGGGATGGATGACTATATGACATACACAATGGTTTGACCATGACACAGAAGTGTTTTGGTTGAAACTGTCACCTGAAACTGCCAGGGTTTGCTGCGGTCCTAGTCTGGGACCTGCTGAGGCAGCTGAGGCAGCGGTTCTCTCCCGACGATGAAGTCATAGAGCGGGATGGCCAGAGACCGAGTTGGATCCATGACGCAATCTTGGAGATGGATTAACATTTGAATAGATTTGAAATACATGTGATATATAATATTATAGTATATTATAATATATTATAATATATTAGAATATATTAGAATATAGTTATATATCATTCATATATACGGTTATACGGTCTTCACTCATCCAGTGAAGAACCAAAATGGATTAATACCTCCCCAACTTTTTCATACTTTTTCAGATTTGTTCAGTATCGAAGATAATGGCTTTCTCGACTTTCTGTCCCTGTCCAGGATTGCCACTTCCTGTAAGCTTCAGAGCCGTTTAGCGCCTCCCTGCACCGAGAAATGTGCGGTGGCATCGGGAGAAAAATTCTGGGCTGGATATGGGAGCTGTTTCCACCATCTGTATGTGGGCTTCATTGAGATTGGAGACCATCAACATTGGAAAAAGACGTCACCAGTGGAATTTCGGTGTTCCTTTTTTTTACAAAGCATATCGACATCAACGTGTGGAATGAAGCGGAAAAGATGAGTTTTCGCAGCTGTATCCCATCTCAAAAGCGCTGCAGTTTTCGAGCAGCGTAGCTGTCATCCGCAGTCTCCTGCCACAAGCTTAGCAGAGACCACACGACCAGTACCCTTCGATCACCTGATGTTTGAGGTCATGACAGCAGCCGAAGCCAAGTTCTATAGGGATGGCCGTTACCCAAGATGTGCCGTTGGGCTGCGGTGGGTTTTTGGTCTAATGGATCTTCAGGGCAAGTTAATTCCATTGGATTCCTTTGGCAACGCAGCCGGCTGTAGCCCTGGAAATGTGAAACTCCAAAAAAACATGGCGACTGAAACCATGGGATGCATCGAAAAAACGCAACCAGCGCGTCGAGGTTATACGCATCGCACGGTCCTCTTTGACGGTCTGCAATCCGCGAAGGTGCGAGTCTTTTCTGCCCGGTGTTGTGATAACCTTGGTCGCCATATGATGCCATATGGGTATGGCTCAAATTGATTTAGTCCCTAGAATGGATAGGTATACTGTAGTTAAAAACGACTAAAAACGTCAATATGGGTCCATTGGCACCCGAATTTTGAATGTTAACCCAGACTTGGACTTCAATGGATTGCAGGGAAATTGACTTGAAACCATAAACCATCATGAACCATGATTTTACCCACCAAACATTGGGATTTCCTATGGTTTCCTGTCAATTTTTGAAGAACTCTTGACCAGGCGGAGCACGGTGGCTCGCTGAATTTCAGCGCCTATCGTCAGGGTAGAGATCGACAGGTGCTCGAATAAAGCAGATCAGTTGTTTCTTCAGTTGTCCTTGGTTTTGTAACGCCAACCTGAGTTTCCAATGATTTCTCATTTGTGTTTTTGCCGTTTCTCTTATTTGTACACTTATGATATGTGTATATATATAGATATGCATTTATTGTGTCTTGGTTCTCAAAGATATATCAGCTAACAAAGGAGTTAAATATGTTTGGGTCGTCCTATTTTTCTCAGCGCTTCAGCTCCGGATGTTTTTTTTTTTTCGGTGCAGTACTTGGGGGTCAACGGCAAGAACTACTATGCCAAGCCATGGGGGAACGACTCCTCCAACATCCAGGCAACTGAACGCCGGAGAAAAGGATGGGAAGATCTAAGGAGCAGATGTCTGAAAATACTAGGTGTGGTTATACATTGCATGGTTATAATATTATGACACAATGTATAATAATTACTATGTTATACTATTATTATTGGATTTATTATTATTATCATCTATTGTTATATACTATATTATATTGTTATACTCGAGGCCAGGGCTTAGACAAGTCACTTTGCCAACCAATGGAGTTGCTTCGGTTCCGTCGTACCAGGCCGTCATCAACGGCCCGGCATATTGGAAGTTTGGAGCTTGGAATGCTTTCACCTTGTCATCTTCTCTCTGATAATCCTTGATACAGGTCGACAAGGTTGAGGTCTCTCGGTTGCTGAGCTGCGAGATATTTCCAAAGTCTTGCATGCTGTCACCCTTTCCATCTCACCCTTAAGCCTTTGAGTTACGAACCAGTGGTTCCAATCAGTTTCCCGAAAAATCACAGAAAAATCAAGGATAACACAAGGAACAGATAACATCTTACTGGTGCTAAACGTAGGGAATTGGGGAATGGGATGATGGTTAATAGTTACAATAGATCATTCCCCCCATTCCCATCCATTCCCTACGTTTAGCAGCACCAGTAAGACATCCGTTTTATTTCCCCATTGTGAAACGGGCCGAAACGGTGAGTTTGCCTCGCTGAGGCGCGTGTACTACCGCGAGAACATTGCTGCCCGCTTCGCGAGGGAGGATGCTGAGGTGTCACCTGGGACAACGAAGAAGGGGAATGGGTAAGCCACAGAATAGGTACGTAGGTATATAGATATTATATGATATTATATATATATATGTATTCAGAATAATAATGCTGATAATACTACTACTACTGCTGCTGCTACTACTACTACTTCTACTACTACTACTACTAATAATAATAATAGTGTTCATACATATATATATATATACATCTACATGTAATATGTGCCGTATACTGCGAATGGAGTGTAGGCTACGGATCACTGCACACTCCCATATAATTCAACTCTTAATTGTCCACCGCCAAGGGGTGCATCAATTTGCTCCTTTGGCTCAAGGTTACTGCAGGTGCCAAGAGAAAAACGCCGCCATGCTGAAACTGCAATTCCCGTGTCGTCGTTGTTGAGAACATCAACCTCAAGATCAAACAACAGCACATAATCGGGGAGATAACCTCCGATTCACAGGTTATCAGCCGTAGGACTCCTACGGAGCCTACGAGCGGGTAGCCGCGGGCCTTACAGATGACTGAACAGGATAGCAGCGATAACGCATTTTCTTTCTCTGGACATGCCGTCGCACCAGCTGCCGGCACGCAGTCAAATTCTTCACAGAGTATCGACACTGGTGGAAGCGATGCCTCAGAATTGAGAACAAGCCTACCCAGGCGACCTCTGGTTGCTCCTAGAGGGAGACAAATTTCGACAATGCAAGCAATTGAAGATAGGGACAGCACACCTGGAAAGAGAAGATCATCTGCACGACAATTGTCGCCTCCGATGACTCCAAGGACTAAGGCAAAGACTACGTCGTCGAATCCGCCTTCACCGATTCAGGACGCTACTCCATCAGGGACAGGATCTTATCAGCAAGTGAACGCCCCGTCAAGTGGTAGCGACATCTTCACTGCCTATCAGAGTGAACTAGCTGAATACAAGACATCACTGGAAAAGGCCACTGAAGAAGAATCCGTACTTCAGGCAAGATTGACCGAGACAACAGCATATGCCTATCAACAATTTAATTTCTTGGAAAGCACCACTCATCAAGAGATGATGTCGATGACCGAACAACTCCAGATGCTGAACTTCGAGTTACAGGCTGCACAGCAAGAAGATGAAGGTGCGACCTACAGGATCGAAGAGTTGGAAAGGTATCAGACTATGTCGAATGAAGCTGCATCTCATTTGGAATTCAAATATTCACGACTACGTTCGGAATTCGATGAACAAATGGGACAAGCAAACGCAATTATGGTACATGTGGGAACTGACGCGAATGCTCACATCAATCAACTCAGACTGGAACTGGAAAACGCAGAGATGAATGCCAAGCAAGAAGCTCTAGCAGTCGGCTATGCTAATGACCAAACATGTGCTTTGCAGATCGAGATGCTCGAGGTTGCCAATCAGAACCAGACGATGAAGCACACCATGGCCATGAATGTCAGGCGACTGGAAACTGAGTTAGATGCTGCTGACATGAAGAGGGACGAGATCATGAAGGAATTCCGTAGTAACATAAGATCTAAACATGACCGTTATGCAGAATGTGAACATCACTTAGCTCTGGAAGAATCACAGCTTCGATTACAGGTGATCCACAGTGAGAACTTACAATCTCGACTAGCGATTTCTGAGAACAGGGTTTCTGAAGAATCTCTAGCTGAATCAGGTGGCATGCGGGACATGAGGATAATGGGACTACGTTCTGAACTACACATGAAACAAAGTCTTTTAGATCGAATGCAACAGCAACTGACTGAATCGAAGAATCAGTATCATGAACTTTCCTGTCAACAAGCCAGAAGATCTTCACCAAGCAGATCACCGCATGGAGGACCTCTATACGAGATGTACATGCAAGCCGTGCGTGAACGTGACAGCTTGAAAGAATCCAAGGCCGAAGTTGACAAGTTGTACTTGCAGAATAGATCTGAACTCATTGACACTGAGGACCTGCTCAAAGTCTTCCAGCGAAACTTTGATGAAACTGGTAAGAAATATCAAGATGCTCTGAACAAGATCGATCACATGAGCAACAATCCGAATGTGACGAGTACCTTGTTTGACAGTTTGCACAATGAACTCAATGACAGGGATACAGCTATTGCTCGCCTTCATACTGAACTTGAAGCCCAAAAGGACTCTCTTGAGCGTGCTCACAGGGATGCAGGTAAGTCCATCAAGATGTTGAACGACAGAAGACTCGTGATCAAAGGTGCGACTGACTATTCCATTCCTGAAAGCCATTTGACCGAGATGCATCAATTGGCCAATGAGCGTTACGCTGAGGTAGAAGAGATGTCGAGCACTATTGCTGCCCTGAAGTTGGAAAACCAAGCTCATTCTTCTTCATCAATGAATAGACCGACTACATTACATGGGTACCCCAGTAATGCCATGCCTCGGAATGAATGTGAAGAGAAGTGTGCCAAACTGAAAGCAGAGTTGGACGAGATGAAGCAAGAGAGGAACGCTGAAGTTCGAAATCTTCAAGATGAGTTGAAGAAGATGGAAGATCGTAAAGATTACTATAAGAACAATTTCTCTCAAGCTGAAGATCGTGCCAATGATGAAGAGCAGGAATACCGAGCAGAAGCTGAAGCCTTCGAGAAGCTCAGGAACGAGTACAACACAAATGTCAAGGAGTTGGAGAACCTTGAAAGGGATAGATCCAAGTCATCTGTATCTCTAAGGGAAGCCGAAAAGATCAGCCTCCAACCCTGGCCTAAGACCACTGAACTTTCATCCTGGAAGGGAAGTGTCGTTCATGAAGTTTGCGTTGCAAGTGGAGATCGAAACTATGAAGATTGGAAGGCGTGGTTAGCTCCGTGTCTTGCAGATCAACCTGACTTGGAGGCGCTGGCCAAAGCTCCTGATGTGAGATTCCAATCCATTGATGCCAAGCTCTCCAATGCCTTGAGGAAAGTCATTGACAATGCTGGGGACAAGTCCATGCAAGTGAAGTATGACATGTCCATGAAGAACCAATTGTATGGGAGAAGTGGGGACTTCATCAAGGGACGAGAACTATTTGCAATGATATTGATTAGCTTCAAGTCACCTGACCACACTGAAGTTCTCTACAATGCCCATCATTTGTATATGTTCAACTACTATGGAGATGACCAACTTGAGGCCTTCTACAACAAGTGGCTTGACATCGTATACAATATGAAACATGATGATCTGCCTTCCAACAATTCCCTGCGTGACACATTGTTCCGGAAGATTGAACATTCAAAGCTTATGGCCTTCGATATCAACCGATACAAAACCTTTGATGAAGGGCATCCTGAGAAGACCTATGCTTACCTAACTGGTATGATCAAAGGATACATAGCACGTGGAAAGCAAGAACGACTGTTGAAGGATAGAGAACGTGCAGTGAAACTGTCATTGTCCTCTAACAAGACGACACCTGCCTTATAAGATGCAGACAAGCCTGCCGCTCCCGTCAAGACCAAGAAGGAGAATGAAGCGGCTGCATCGTCCACAGGTGATCCTCCCAAACGTCCTAAGGCGAAAGCGAAGAGTGAAGCTGCATACTTCCTACACCTTCTCCGAAATCCCATGCTGACAAGAACAACAAGAAAGGCAAAGGTGGGAAGGGAAGATCATCTTCACCCGTTGACAAGAAGAAGATTTTCTGTAACTACTTCTTCAATAAAGGAGGATGCAACAAAGGTGACAAATGTCTTTACAGTCATTCTCAGAAGGTCTATGATGCCAAGATGAAAGGTAAGAAAGGCAGAAGCGGAAGTCGAGATTCATCAAGAGGGAAAGGTAGAGGAAGTTCATCTTCAGCTGGACCCAAAAAGAAGGTATGTTGGAATTGGCAAGAGGGTACCTGCAAGTTCGGAAACAAATGTAAATTCCTACATGCAGATAAATCGCCTTCAGCATCCTCCGAGAGAACCAGCAAGAAAACACCAAAGAAGAAGGCGACTCCCATTACCATTGATTCCTTCTTTGATAGCGACAATGAAGATTCTATGGATTATACCTCACCGAGGATAGCCAGCGCAAAGAAGTCTTCTGATGATCGCAGGATCTCATTTGACCTGGAACCTGAGGTGCACGAGATCGCCATTGAGGACTACCAGGAGGGACTACCCAAACGTATGTATCGTGACCCCAACAAGCAATATGTTTTCTGGAAAGTCGATGATTTGACCGACGATCAGTCCAAGTCCGACAACACCCTCGGTTCAGTCCGAGCACGGGCCAAGGCTATCATCATGGACAGATGTGGACTCCATCGTTTTGTTGATGAAGTTAGAATCATTATTGGCCCCAAGTTCGACATGTTGATCAAACTGGACAATGATCGTGATGACTTGACTTTTATTGAAGAGCTTGTTGAACACGAAGTTGGAAACTCCCTCATGAAGTCCAAGAACATAATGTGCATTTCACTACCAGTGCAAGCCAAAGATCGTAGATTCATCCTGGATTCTGGCAGCGGGCATGATCTGATTTCTGCAAGGAAAGCCGAAAGGATGAACTTGAAGCAGCGAACTTGTGATCCTATCATGTTCCACACAGCCAACGGTTCAACTGCTACTCAGACAGAAGCAGAGATTGACCTGGGAACCTTTGATGTGACCTCTCATGCCTATGTACTGGACGACACTCCGTCCGTGATGTCTCTTGGGAAACGATGCATGGAAGAAGGATATTCCTTTGTATGGCCATCTGGTCAAATGCCTTTCATGATTACGAAGAATGGAGAACGCATCGATTTGACAATCCATGACAACATCCCCTACGTTGATCTTGGAACTTACGAATGCACTCCTCATGAATGTCATCATGCATCAAAGATCCATGACCTACTGATACATCCTCAAATCGGAGTCAATGATTTCAACGACATTGATGATGTTGGTCAACCCTCACGAAGAGTACATCTCGATGGAGAAAGTGGTCTCGAGACATCAACTGAGGATCACAACTGTTCCCGATATGTCAAGAAGCTCAAGGTGAAGAAGAAGAAGAA